GCAACTCGGTCCATATTCCGCATCTACAGCAGAACAAAAGAGAGAACATAATAAAAGATGAATAAGTGTAGAATTATTAGACAAATTAAATCAGCGTCCCTTTTACACAAGCGCTCCGATTCCTTCCCGTTCCCTCAGTCGTTTATTTCTTCTATTCTTCAAATAAATTCAAAATATTAACATCGTATAACCGTTTTAACTCATTCCAAATCGGCGTAGCTTGTTGAACGGGTTCTTCCTGACATTGAAATTCTAAGCGTTGTCAAGGATTTAATTGATGCTAATAAACGTCTTGGAATTGAATCAAAGGTAGACATTTATTGAAAAGTCCTGGTGTAAGATGATTCGTTATACAATTAAACCGTCTAAAGCTGTTGTCAGTGTTTCACTTCATCAAAACAGTTTAAATGCGAATGACAGTCGTTTTCCAAATATTGATCATTATAATGATGATTCCGCGACCTCTGTTACAAAATCATCACAACGTTATCAATCGAATCAACGTAAGACAACGATTAAAAATAATGATAATAATAATGACAGAAATCCAAAGATCAAAAACAAAAAAGTTCGTTTTCATCAGAACACAACACAATCTGCGTCGAATTCTACTAAAGTTATGACTTCTAATGCAGTCGCCAATGTTTCATCTACGCCATCATCAAGTACATAAAGTAAAAACATGACTGGTAAATAGACGACAAAAGGCAAATCGAATAACTCGATCACTACAAAGGACCAAGAATATTCGGACAATTATTACTGGAATCAAAAACCATATTTCGACAGTTATTATTGGAATCAGCCATATAATAACTGGAATGTTTACGGAAATTACGATAATTACAATAATAATTGGCAACAGCAAAGACGTCGTTATCCATATTATCAACAACAACGTCGACGTAACAACAACTATTATTATAATAACCAAAATTATTATGATCGTCAAAATAACTGGAATAATGAGGATTATTATTATTCAAATTCAAAAAACTATTTTCCTCACTATCAAGAACCTGTCCGCTTCCAATCTCAACAACATCAACAGCAACAACAACCACAACAACAACAGAATCTGGGAACCGGACAGTATTATCAACAACAAAGTCCATCTTTAACGACAAACGCACAAATATTTTATCCACAGGATCAGCAACAACTGTTTTATCACAACAACAACAACCACTTCAGACAGTATTGCCGTACACAACCAACAACATGTTGGCAGCTGCAACCTACAACCCTTATCAATAATAAATACTAACAATTCTCTGTCATTAGAATATCCACCATTTCATTCAATTACGCCATCGTACTGTGACACCTCTATTCTAAACAAATCTTTATGCTTCGATTCTGAACTGCAATACTGGAACCTAAGCACCTAACTGGTATCATTTACACGATTGGAAATGTGCAGCTGAACAAATCTGAAATTTCATTATTAAAGAAAGGTTTAAAATTCATTCCGAATAAACCGTTTCATTTAACAAATGTATTTCGACACTGTATTACGAAATTGCTCTCATCTTCATCGTCGTTTACTGGTATTACTACGGATGCATTTCTTCTCTCTGCCTATTCAAATCGTTCTGAATTTATTATGAATTTACCGACTGATGAACAAATGGCTCTTCGTTCATTACAATATTATGATGACATTATCACACGTCCTGCAGATAAAAATGTAGGTATAGTTGTAATGCAATCGTCCGTTTATGAATCAAAAGTCCTACAACAACTTAATGATAGAGAATATTATGAATCACTGTCTTATAATCCAACTAATCAGACTAAACAACGTATTATTTTTGAAGTTAATCAACTGTTCAAAAAGAAACTGATCAACTTTTCTACGTTGAAATTTATTGAACCGAAAAACTTATCTTGTGGTACATTTTATATTTTACCGAAAATTCATAAAAAACATTGTCCTGAACGACCAATTATATCCGGGATAGATCATCTTACATCAAATATATCTGATTACTTGGAAAGACTCTTAATACCGTATGTATCACTATTACAAGAATATGCTATGAACGATTATCCAGTACAGAATTATATTGTATTAAAAGATACGAATCATTTACTGAAAGAAATCGAACTTGTCGATAAAAAGATTTTAAATCGTAATCTGAATGTTCAACATCTTTATATGGTTACAGGTGATATCACGTCTCTGTATACAAATATTCCTCAAGACGATGGTATTCAGGCACTATCAAACTTTATTACAAATTTCGGTTTCTTACTTGATTTTCCTTTATCTACATCGGCATCGTCATTACTATTAGATCCGATATTGAAAAATAATTTCTCATGAAAACATTCTGTTACAGTATTTATTAGAACATATTTTCTTTTAAAATGAAACTTATCTATTCAGACATTCATGAAAATAACATTATTATTATTATTATTAACTTTCTCATAAGAACGTTTTTATCATAGTACTCTATTCTTATTTTCATCATCGTTATTTTACCTCTTCACAAGTTTGAATTTTTAAATCTCATTTTTTCAAAAACGTCGATTATTAAAGTAATAATCATGGGCTCTTTGATTGTCACATTAATCGGTCTGTTGGTTCTTACATTTGTTTCGTCCAGTTTTTTGTTTCATATGGAACCTACACAAACATCGATAATCGAGCAAAACTGAACAGTATTCAACAGTGTAATTGTATTAATACGGCAGTGGGTCTGCAATGCACATAAGGTGCATACTTGGAAAGATATTATTTTAATACTGAATGGTCTAGCATTGGGTATACTATTTATAATTACTTTGTTTTATCTGTATTATAAGGTTCAGATTAATTTCAACGGCAAACAGATTAAACCATCAGAAACAACGAAAGATGCCTTTCAACTTAAAAAAGTATCAAAAGATAATATTCATGACGATAATGAATTGTTCATTATGATTAAAAAATATTAACGTGCATTCATAACAGAATGAACAAATTTATCATATTATTCATACATAAGAATAACATTCTCTTTACCAAACAGCATGGAAATAACTCTGTAAAAAAAAAATGTTTAATCATTCATTTTTTTCTGTTCTTACCATCGTCTCGTGTGTTTTTCGTATAACTAAAGCTGTATAAACATACACTGTATATTTTTGCTTTTTCCCCCTGTTTTTTTCACTGAACTAGTTTAAGAATATTTTTTCATTTTAGATGAATCTTTTTGAAAAAGGCATAAAGCCGAAACGCGTTAATAAAGTCATCGAAAATTAAAATTATTTCTTTTTGTTTCATCAATCATTCTCGAGACAACGATATCAATTTTGAGAGTTAAATTTCTCATTTTCTTATTATTAAAGTTTGATTCTACCACTACAGCTCGTTATACCAATAAATTTCTAAATTCTCCAACCACGAATACAAATACTACAACTACGACAACAACAAGTAATACATTAAAGAATGATACTAAAGAAACTCTTAGACTGTTTTCCACATATATTCATCGAAAGATTTGTGAAAGGGATTTAACTCCCGAAAAAGTATTATTCTGATGTAATCGTTATAAAGATCATGTTCAAATTTTATGTAAAATTACTGGTCGTACTGAAGTGATATCGAATGGTTTAACGACACTTATCTCCGATATTGAGAAATTATATTCTGAAAAGGAATATGACTATCTGTTATTGTTTACAGAGACGTCAGCGTCCTTTTTACACAAGCGCTCCGGTTCCTTCCCGTTCCCTCAGTCGTTTATTTCTTCTATTCTTCAAATAAATTCAAAATACAAACTATTAACATCGTGTAACCATTTTAACTCATTCCAAATCTGCGTAGCTTGTTGAACGATCAGTTCTTCCTGACGTTTAAATTCTAAGCGTTGCAATTTAAGCTGACATTTCTCTAGTAATGCTGCTTTCTACAGCAATCGGCAATTCATTCTGACTTTGTAAATCCTGATAATATTGTGGATATTTTTCTTTCATCCAGTCTCCAAGTTCTCGTGCGAACACAGGACGACGCCTTGAAAACCGAAGTTTAATTAAAGAATCCAAACGACAAAACACTCGACCGAAAAATGAATTCAGTTGGCACGGATGTTGTGCAACGATATCCTAGATACGAGGATCGAGACGACGAAAGCAAGGCCGCAGCAAACAGTTGTCTTTTTCATGTCAATCTAATCGATCCACCCAATATCCAGGTGATTGCTGTGAAAATACACAAAATATCATAGAGTGACCACTGGTTATGAAGGACTGACGGCATGCTAAATTAAAGCAATGACTAAACGTTGGTTGATTCCGAAAAATGACTGATAACGATCGTAGACAAAGAGACGTTTTAAGGTGATCAACTGCAATTCATTTGGAAGGTCTTCGAGTTTTGAAACCATGACTGACTAGATCTAAAACAGAAAAGGTAAAGAACAGAATTTTTATTTTTTTAAGTTTTTCCTCTCCTTTCTTAACTACAAAGACGTTCCTTTCCTGCATGTAATATATTTTTTTTGAATGAAACAAAACAAGAAAGATCTGACTGTTTCTCACAGTTGACTTAAAATGAATATCACTGTTCGATACGATGCACGAAAAAAAATCACAAATTAAGTAAATCACTGTTACATAATTTGACGATAAATCTGAAAAATAACACAGAAAAATATCTGACTATAAAAGCAATTTAAGCGTTTATTCGTGAACCACATCCAAATAACTTTTCATTCTAATCCATATCAGCGGTGATGGTGGCGGTAATTTGTGTTCAGCAAAGATCATATTCCATATCTCTTGTTTGTATGCTTCAACTGGATAAGTTCCTTTTACAAAATAAAGTTTAAATATTAAGTTTAAAGTATAAATTTGAGTCGATACGTTCAAACCACTTTTTTCTTATTCAGCGTTGAAAGCTGAATTAAAAAATGATATTAAATTCATTTCGCAGTTAAACGCTTGCAAGCGTTTAACTGCGAAATGAATTTAATATCATTGATCCATCCGAACGTCTGGGTGGACATGTCCACCCAGACGTTCGGATGGATCATTGCAAAAAGAATGGTGAGTCATTTTGTAAATCTATCTAGTTTTTTATGCCAAGGGATGGAAGCATCGTATTAATGATATTGTATCCGCCGTGGATCCCGCTCGTTGTCGTGAGCACAGCTATGACGCATTTAACAGCATTTACTCCTGTCTAACGCATCCAAACGCCTTTCAAGTGTAGTGGAACGCGTTCAAACGTATTTTTGGTGCAAAAAAAACGCGTTTCGCAGTGCGTTAGATCAAACAAAATGCCTGTCTGGGGTACTTGAGAAAAAGAATTGAAGAGTATATAGAAACTATATGTTTTGTCCCTGGTGAATGTACTTTTGTACAAGTACTTAGATAAGTGCTTGGGTAAGGAATATCCAGAGTGCTTAGAGCTTTTTTTAAGTGAAAAAGGTACTTATCATGTAATTTCACAAATGCAAGTACTGATCAAGTACGTCATCAAGTATTTAAGAGATAACTTGGTAAGTACTTGAAAGAATTTCGAATATTTGCATAAATTTCTCAAGTACTTGGTACGTATTAAATCTAAAACAATTGAAACATCTTTTCAATCTAGAGATGGCACTTTCTCGTTTCTTTCCCAAAAAGAAAGAAAAAGAACGTAAATATAACTTTCTTTTGTTTTCTTTATGAATAAAGCACTTTAGATTATAATGTTGCATTGTATACGTGTACATTATAGTATCAGCAGTGGTATAATTCAGCGTTCAGAATAAATTGTTAAACACAATTTATATACGGTCCAAGTCAGTTCTTAGAGTTTTTTTGGTAAATTCACTACTTCTCATCTATTTTATATTGAGAAGTTTAATATCGATTATCGACAATCTGATTTTGAATCTGCCCCATGGAATTTTGGAGCAAAAAGTACTTTTCAAACACCTTGAACCAAATTTCGCCCTAAGAAAGCATTTTCAGGAAACAGCATGAGTATAAAAGTTGTTCCGAATCAGATTCTCTAAATACGAACGAAGGAGTTTTCAAAATTTGTTAAAACAGTTTTTTAAATTGAAAACTGCAACTTTTAAAAGTGTAAAGTTTCATAAAATTTAATTTAAGAATGTAGTTTAACGAACTTCCAGAAATCCTTCATTCATATTCCGGAGAATCTGATTCTGAACAACGTTGATATCTATACTTTTTCTTGAAAATGCTTTCTTCGAGCGAAATTTGTTTCAAGGTATTTTAAAAATACTTTTTGCTTTAAAATTTCATGGGGCGGGTCTAAGTGGAATAACTCAGTCCAAACTTGACTGAATCTTTTTATAGATACATCTTGATGTCTTCCATCAAAAATTTAAAATAAAATTTTCTCGAAAACTACAAGTCCGGTGACCGAAAAAATTTTAACATTTCAGACTATCCTCTACAATAGTTCTTAGTCATAATATAGTTCATCTTGAGACTTGAAATGATACCTTGTTTTCTCTTTCTGCCTTCATCTTAGTTTTCTGTCTTTTTAATCGTTTTCCGGATATATGCGCATGTAGAGATAAGTGTAGAAGGTGTGTCTCATGATGTATGGTCTGAACCTCTTTCATACACACAAAATTCGAGCTTCAACGGTCCGTCATCTGAAGCATCTGTTCAAGGTATTCTTATCAAAGTAGTTGCTACTCAACTTTACTCAGACACAGATTTGTTGTCTATGGTCAAAACTATCTTCTTAATTGAAATTGTTCTCATTTCAATTTAAAAAACGTGCGCAGAGAGCTATATTTCCCTCAATATCTCCTCAAAATCAACCAGAATTACTCAGTTTATGCATCTCGGCACTCTGATTAATGAGTTTTTCTTGCTCTTTGATCTATATTTCTTCGTTCGAACGTAAGAGACGAATAGAGCAAATTCTATATCTTTTTCGAAATCTGCATTTATTTATCGCCGAAAGAAGCAGTACTCAATACACGTTTATTCTATATTCTGCTTAAGAAAGAAATATGGATCAAACAGAAAGTAAAACAAATCAATCACAGTATTGCAGTGTGTATGAACTGTTCGAATACTCGAATACTCAATGATTATTCAACAATCATCAACTTTCCAAATATAAATTTAATATAATATAAGTACCCGTATGCTGAGATACTGGCGCACTTTGAACTGAAAGCACAAAATATCCTGTTAAACCTCAATTGGCGTAAAGTACAACTCGCATTCCATTTCTCCACAGAAAAGAGTAAGTTTTGAAATTTTCATTTAGGCAAACATTCCTTCTTGTTTAACTATTGAGTTAATGGAAGTTATTAAAGATGATCTAAGGATGGAGTATCCGAATTTAAATGCACATATATTAAATAAAATAGTGAATCAATTTCACGTTTTATTTTGTGAACATGATAAAAAGGGTTGTTCTTTCGAGAACGTACCACGTTTACACCGACCTTGTTCGAATTGTTTGAGAGTAACAGGACTAGTACAACTCGAACTTCTGATGACGAATATAACGTTTAAAAAATTTTAAAACAATGGCATGATAGCCTTCTAGACCTGTGGAAACCCCATTTCCCAGCAGAACAGCCCTTTGGTGTGCATTTTCACCATTTTCTAGTGAAATACTTTCATGAGCTGGTACCGTCATATTAGATTCTATACGTGCAGAGCTACAAAATCACTAGCAGATAAAATGCTAAACACGTTCTCAGGAAAATTTTTAAAAAATTCCATTTTTCCGAAAAGTAGCCCTTTTTTGTAAACCATTTTTTCCTCATAAAATCATATCAGCACAAGACAACAAGATATGCATTCGACGTGTCTTTTCAAGCTCTATCCGATGAAGTGGTTCGAATTGAGATTAGAAAACTAGACTTTCACTTTAACAACTAATGTGGCCGACTATATACAAATCGTACGTTAGTAGTAGACCTACCAACACATTGTCTTTTATCTTTTAACCTCTACGCATATGACAGTATGAACATGTGTAGCTTTCTGATACCCTTTCTATCATCATATGTATGTAAACATAGCGTGTGGTTCCCTTTCACATCCCTATCGGTTTCATGTTTCTTGCACTACGAAAATAATGACCTCTCGCGTTTGCTACTGCTGTTGCTGTACTTCGAAACTAAATCCCAGGTGATCTGAACATCGTTCCATGTACATCATCGCTATTTTTACATAGCATTCGGCTATGTAAACTATAGCGAAAAATAGTAACATTACTGTTCAATTACAATCATCAGTGTCATATGGCCAATGCTCAACCTTTAGAATAAATGTTCTTTGATTGAATAAAAAAATTCGTATAAGTAGAGTTTTCGTCGAATATGTGAGAGGCTGTTTTTGTCAGTATGATTTTTCATGTTTCAACTTTAAAGTACTTACAGATGTTTTTGTTCTCATTATCAGTATCGGATTTGTTATATCGCTTATCATTTTCTTATTCTATGCCATAATTAAACATGTTTTCTCCCTACATACTCTTGTTTTGCTCACTCTTACATGTTCAAGGTTTATCGATTCAAAATGAGAATATTTTGCTTGACGATAATATTCAGTTGTTCGAAGGCGATATCGCTGTTCGTCGTGATCAATTGGGAAGAAATGCGTATTTGAACGCACCAAAGTGGCCGAATGGAATATTACCCTATGAAATTGACGTGAATGGAGGCTATACACAAGATCAACGAAATCTTATTTTACAATCGATGAAACGAATTGAGGATCAAACAAATAATTGCATTCGATTTGTACAAAAAACATCTGCTGATCGGACATGGATAAAAATTGTCAACGGACAAGGGTAAAATTACTTGACATTATTTTAGCTCGTATTTTTTGATTATTTTTATGTTGTATTCATTGTGTCTAATGTCTGTTTAGTTGTTGGTCTTATTTTGGTAAACCGTTTTCAAATGGTTTTCAAGAACTCCGACTAGAAAGACCAGGTTGTTTATACCAAAATACGATAATACATGAACTATTGCATGCCGTCGGTTTTGCTCATGAACAAAGTCGTCCTGATCGAGATGGACACGTGAATATTCATTGGGAAAACATTCAAGCGGGTTTGTAATTTTTTGCTCCTATCCTTCAATCCTTTTCATTCAATTTCTCTTTCTGTTCAGGTCAAGATTATAATTTTCAGTCGTACAGTCAAGGCGAAGTTCAACTACATTCACCGTATGATATTCGTTCAATAATGCACTACGACTGGCAGACATTCTCGAAAAATGGTCAAGCTACATTATCGCCAAAAGATCCAAATGTTCCCAAAGAAGTAATGGGTAGTGCCAGAGAACTGACCTACTGGGATGTACAAAAAGTGAAAAATTATTACCAGTGTGGTTAACAGTTATTATAGACCATATCATTATCCAGTGGACCCATAGCAAATGCAATATCAACCTTTTTTTTGAATACTCAGAAATAAACCTCTATATTTTTCATCAAAACAATTCAATGTAGATAGAAGATAATAGAATGAAACATATGATTGTACTGTCTATATCAAAATAAAATGCAGTGTTTTTTGAATAATTTTTGATGAGAATGAGGTGCATACCTGTGGTTTTCGCGATTGTGTAGAGAAGATCTGACGGGCGATACCTATGGTAAAATAATGTTATTGGGACAACCTGCACGTGATATACATGGTAAGTCTTTGAAAAAATAGGTTGTTTCGCTTTGTCTTCTTTTAGAGACTTCTGTGTTTAAAACACTCAGTATATAGCCTAGGATCTCGTGTATCGATCTGAGCAAGTTTGACCTTTCTGGCGTTTCTGAATCCCGAATAACAGACATTTTCCTGCGACATACATATCCCAGTTGGGTTAGCTCTAGTAACCTTAAAAATAACTCCAAATATATATGTTCTCGACTATGAGTCTCATGGCAACATTTGTTTTTGGAGAAAATCCAAGAACCTAGTAAAAATCAATGCTAGGTGACATCATCCATAAGTGCCTGGTTTCAGCCGAAATTAATAACATAACTCATTCAAAACCGATCCAAACTACTGAAAACTGTCAACGTAGATTCTATTTTGCCTGTTGTATATCCCAGATTTCAACGAAAGTTCGAAAAAGCAACAGCAAGCACTTAGTTTTTAAAAGGTATTCTCGAAAGCTCTAAAATTAAGTGAATATTTTTTTGTACTCTTAACTACAATGCCAGATTTAGCACACAAAACAGAGTATACTCTCTGATGTTTTGTAGTGGTTTGGTTCGATTTTGACTGAATCGTGAGTTATGAAGTTGTTAATTTTGACTGAAAGCATATACAGCTATCTACAACACCCAAGGCTTTATACCCAGTGTTTCAAACATAAAGGTCTCTAAGAGAAGTCAAAGACCAGCGATCTCTTCTCTAACAGACTTGCCAGGTATACCACATGATGAAAGAAAATAGGATGTTTCTGCGGTGTCTGTACCATGTTTACGTCGATTTTGTTCGCATAAACTTAAACCCTCTTTAAATGAACGATCTGTGAGTAGCGAGCATTAGCATAAATCGAGTTAAAAAAGTTTAGAAATAGTGGCATCATAGAACGCCAAATCTCGACATTTGCTATTTTTTGTGTTCTGGGGATTCAGTAACACTAAACTTTTGCCTATATAAACCACTAGCGAACATTGATTTTTTTCCGGAATAGACAGTCAAAAGTTAGGACTTTCTCGTGGTATCGTCGAAAAATATCATGTTTTTTTCTATGATATAGTATAGGGATGCACCGATTAATAATCGATGTTGGGGCATTCAAGAAAATGGTTCCGACTTGGTTACAGTAAATCCCTCAGAACTGCGGAATATCTGATTTTGTAGAGAAAGGTTGACTCTACAAAGGTAAAGTATTAAAAAGGGTTCAATGTTATATACAGAAAAAATATGATTAATCAAAAACGCACAAAAGTCGCAAAAAATAATCGATCTTCGATTATCTTTTTGCGATTCTGCACATTTTTAAAGATTTCAATTTCTGTCACAAATAACATTAAAACTTATTTAACACTTTAGCTTTGTATAGCCAACCTTTCTCTACAAAATCAGATATTCCGCAGTTCTGAGGGATTTACTATAACCAAGTTGGAACGGTTTTCCTGAACCCCCAACATCAATTATTAATCGATGCATCCCTAATATTGTACTTTGCTGTCGCTAAATTTCTTAAAGTCAATCTTTAAAATTGAAACTACTGAGACGCTGCAACGCGGAGAAAAGGTGCTCAGATTGTACGCTACTTTCTCTTTTCTTTTGACTCAAAGGATAGTGTTCAGAAAATCTTCAACTCATACAACACAGACACTTTCATTTGCGGAATGGACGTGTCAAAAATCGAAAAAAATAAATATTTTTAGGCATATCTGAGTCAAACTGCGTCAGAAAACAATGAAAACGTTTTCCTGGTTACACCTCGATAAGCCCGAGCGATAGGCGGGAGAATTAGTGTTCCATCTAAAAAACAAAAATTCTATAGAAATTTTAAAAAATAGGCAAAAAATCACTAAGTAGTGTCAACATTTTTTTCTCATTTGAACTTCTGAAAATGAAAAATTTTCATTCCTAGGTTTCAAAATGTACGCTACAAACTGAGCGAAAAATCTGGAAAAGAGGATCTTCCCGTAAATGAACGACGCTTGAGTAGGATTAGCATAAATCGAGTTTAAAAAGTTTGAAAATAACATCATAGAACGCCAAATCTCTACACTTGCGATTTTTTGTCTTTTGGAGATCCGGTAACACTAAACTTTTGCCTATATAAACCAGTAGGGAACATTGAATGTTTTATGGAATATATAGTAAAACGTTAGAGCTTTCTCGTGGTATCATCGAAAAAACTTCAAAGTGATTTGGAAATTTTGAGGAGGATTTCAAAAAATCTGACGTAGGCCTTTTTTGCGATATATAGATCTTCAGCAAAGCAAAATGGAAAATCACTTTCAAATAATGCATTCGACTGGTCTTTCCAACATCTACCGAATGATAAAACAAAAATTGTCATAGCTTTTAAACTGAAATCGGAAATTTCGAGATACTTGTGAGGATTTTTGAGTTTTTGTCTGTTATACACTTTTTTTTTCATAACCTCGAACTCCCAAGGTCGCTTTCATATATTTTCTATACCTATTCGACATGGGCATTCAGATCCCAAAAGATGTGATTTACGCCAACTCAATGCCTTGTAACTATAGACCCTATCAAATTTGATTTTTCAAGTTTCAAGTTGATGAGTTTTTCAGCTTTTTTAAATTATATGATACGACTTTAGGATTACACTACCAGGATAAACTTGCACTGAAATCGATACTCATGTTGAAAGTACTCGGCTACTCACTGTGAACTCTACAAAATTTGAGTTTTCTAGTTTTAATAAACTTCAACATTAATGCACGGTGGGGCACAACGTGGACATTAGGGGAAAAAACGAAAGTGCACTTTATCAAGATTTAAATAGCTGGTCATATACATCAGCAAACGTTCTATCTTTTTGCTATTGAAAGTTTTTTTTCTAAGTGCGAACCTTAGTTGGAAAATCGCTAGGAAATATCGGACGGAAAATAATGGTGCTATAGAAAACTGGAATATATGCAAGACCAGAGTAACCTTTTACAAAAACAAAAACATATGTAGAATCTGTGGCAAATTCTCTATTGGTTGCTAAAAAAAATTTCTTTTAAAAGTCTTTCGTGACGTAAGAGAAGCTATTCTTTGTTAACTAAGCCGTTTTTTTAGCGGTGCCTCCAGTATAGTGAGGGCGCCCACTATTGCCCAGTTCCAAATTCAATGAACTTTTTACCCATTACCCTTCAACATATAGCACATCTTCCTAGGGGCGCGCAAAGATGGGCAAATTTTCATGAGCTATGCTGCAGAGTTTCTAAAAACCTCAGTGATTTACAGGTTTTTCGTTTTTTTTCGATTGCAAAGTACTTTTTCTGAAAAACGATAACATATTTGGATACAGCATGAAAAACTACATCGAACGGTGTGTCTTTTAAGAACTTTGGATTAATATGGTTTTTCGTGAAAATTCCACAGTATTGTTATAACCGTGATTGTTTTTAGTCTATTCCGTTTTGAATTTTAGTTTGAATTTTAGCCTAGGAAATTTTCTAGAAATCCGGCTGTGAATTCTGCTGAAGATTAGTGATTTGGCTAATACTGCACAAAACCGAAGAGCCAAGGGATGATGTGGACTCTAGCAGAGTAGTGACACTCTTTTATCAGGTCTCATCAAAATCAGCATGTTGAATAACCTATAAAAGACGCTATGTTGTATTTTTCCAGGAAAATAGTTTTCTAGAAACCCGATCTCTAGAAGTCCGCTAGAACCTTGCCAAAACATTTTCTACGATTATAGTTTAGATCAGGATATCCGAAAACCGATGAATAATAATTTTCTTCAGAAACTGATCATCTCTCAGTACATTTGGGTCTCTAGAAACCTAGGGATCTCAAAAAAAAACATTTGAAGGGTTTAAGTTCTGAAAAACGTTTCATTGGAAAGAGCACACACGAAAACCTATAAAAAGAGTGTTTTCAGTTTGTTAAAGTTATTTAAAACTCAATGTCCACGTGCCTATTGAAAATTTCTGACTGTATAATGTAATTAAAAGCACAGTAGTATAAAATGTTTTGCGACATTCCGATTAATGTCAAATAAAGGTTACTGTACTCAATGTACGTAGTAGAAATATTTAAGTACTGAAATGAAGTAATAGCTCGATAAATATCTGAAAAAAACATTTTTTTATAAAAAAAAAACTCAAATATTGTCAGAAAATATTCAAAATTTTATTTATAACAGTCAGATCTCTCAGGCAAACACGACAGGTTGGTGATGACGCGAGCAACTAATCTGGCAGTTTTAGTTAAAAAAAAAATGTTTCCTTAAAAAACGATGAAAATATTCGTAAAAAATTCGTTCTGCTGAAAAATGCACCTTACCCATCGCTGTGAGAGACAACTGTTTTAAAAAGTTTTCAGTCAAATTCAGTTTGTACAAGTTCTAAAGATTTCAAATAATTGGCATAAGGTCGATGTAATTGTGGTAAGGCGCCGCTAATTCAAAAGAATTGCAAGTTCTTATTTTTCACTTAAAACTATATCATTCGATGCAAAATTTCACGGTGATTACG